ACGGTTTTTTACTTATAACTTTTTACTTTTGAACTCCACATCAGAATGACCATTTCTGTTTGGTCCACAGCTGAAACCTCAGCACATGACCATCATTTTTGGCATTAGTAGGTGTCCAAAATATTGTATTAAATGATTGAATCCTTAGCCTTAAATTATTTACTGATTTTGTACTGAAGACTCTTACTGTGAAATCTTTCTCTTACTAAAAATGCCAATGACCACCAGCCACTTTCCCTTTCTCCCCGGTACATCCTTTAGCTGGTTATTCTCTGTTCTTGACACCCCCTGGATGGAGGTTAATGTAGCCTTAATCTGGGAGTCAAAGCCCACAGCTTCTTTTAAATAAACATCCTGAACATACACACACATACATAGTGTGGTCTACACACACACACACACACACACACACACACACACATAAATACACATACACCCACACACACATATATATACATCCATATACACACACATATATACACCTGTGGTAACATGGCTTTTTAAACATACCTATATCTATATCCATATCTATATCTATATCTGTATCTATATCTATATCTATATCTGTATCTATATCTATATATACACACACACATATAACCATACTTATACATATATAGTTTTACTATACGTATTTTTGTATTTTGGTGAAGTCCAGGATGCAGAGAACAGACTGAACAATGAATCATGATCCCCTTTCTTGACTGCTTTGAATGTCATTTTCTAGTAATCAGAACAGCCGAAGCCAACTAACATTTTCATTTTGGGGAAAAGAAAATCTCCGAGAACTCAGCAGTCATAGTCTTAATAAAGTACATTTAACAACATGTAGTTTTTACATAATGTATTAGCGTTATTCATAAAGGGAGAAACGCTACAAAAGCTGTGGTGAAAGGAAATGAATATTTTAAAGGAAGCTTTCCCCAACATATAAAGTAAAATCATGAATGCTAAAACATTTTATTGTCTTTTTTGAATTTTAGAGATGGTATTATTCCCTTTTAATAAGTGTATTAATCTATTCCTTCAACAGTAATTTACTTAGTTCCCACTGTGTGTTTGGAATATCTTTAATGCTACATAAATATCAAATCCTTTAAAAAGTAAGTGAATCCAAATATTTATGAAGCTTTCCTTGGAAGAGCCAAATTTTTATCCAAATTGCCAAATGGCTACAAGTTATGCTGCCTTTATATTTCTATCCAACTTATATAAATAGTCTCTGTTGCCCAAATGGTCACATTTTTCTCAATCATCTACCGCATTCTCATCTTCCTCTTTCATTACTTATCACACCACTGCAGGATGCTAACACATACATTGGAGGATTTCTTTTGATGTCAGAAGTAATTCTTCTATCAGGTGGGATGGAATGAAGACACAGGTATTCTTCCAACATACGGGAGAGAGGATTCCTTTTAAACAATCTAGGAATAGATAATAATCAAAAGCTCTTAACAGAAGCTCAAACCAGCTTCAAAACACTACCCTGTAGGAAATAGCAGGCTTCTGCAAACAGAAGTTGAGTTTTGTGTTGCAAGTACTGAAACATTTAGAAAAGAACTCAGAATTAGACCACCTCTGCAAGAGCCCAAAGAGAGACAGGAGGATGGCTTTTCTTCCACATTTGACTTGTTAGAAATCAAATCCAAGGAGATTTTATAGCCTTTTAGGATTCATAAGCCCTTTCATTTTATCTCTGTTTTATAGCCCTCCTCACTGAGACCATAATGCACGAGGGAGAACTGCCAAGACTCCCGAACTCATCTATTCCATTTGTGTCTGTTGACAGGAATCCATCCCATCGTCAGCTGCCACTTCTGCATGAAGGAGGAGCCATGGCTTCAGAATATCAGACGGGATAAGGAGATGAGAACAGACTTCAGAGCCAGAAAGACCTGGGGTCAAACTGACGTAACCTTTACCTGCCACAGATGACATAATTTTTATGAGATTTGATATTCTCTTATGCAAGATAGAAAAACAATTACATGCATCTCACAGGTTGCTATGTGGACCGAGGGAGGCCACACATGTTCTTTGTTCAAATCTTATCGGCTGTATACCTTTGCACTGGTTTCTGTAAAATGCCGCTAATAATGGCACCTATTTCACAGAGTTATTATGAGTGTTAACTGAGTTATTTTGTGTAAGGTACTTAGAAGAACACCAGGTACATAATAGACCCCCATAAATATTATTCTCATTGTGAGTGGTAGCAGCATATCTGAAGTCTCTAACACAAGGTCTGCCAGGTGTGGGTTGTCAACGTATATTAGTATTCTGCTCCTCTTTATTTTGGGTAAGGGCTTTTATTTTAGGCAGGTTTTCTTGTTTCCAAAATTACATAGTGCTTAGCACATTGCAGACCTTTTGCTATGTCTCCACAGGATGACCTGACTGATTTGCAAAGATGAGTGACCTCCAATTTTGTCTATGACACCTGCATCTCACTGAACCCAGTTCATCTGCGTCAGGACCTTCATTAACCCTCAAAGTATTCAAGCGTCTCATTTTGCTTTGACTCAGTAACTAACTGTGGGTTTTGCTATTTGTGGGCTGTTGACAGCAGACTGGACACATGACACATGAACTATCAAGATGATCTACACCTCTACCAGTGGGACCACAAGTACTGAATGTCTAAAATTATCTCCCTAAGCTCTGTCAAAATGGCCAAAATGCCCCTCACTAGAGACACAGCATTGGGTTAACAAGAAAATATGTTAGCTGAAACAGGATAGACAGTGAGGGCTCATAAATGCGGTAATTTGTGGCAAAATCTTAGGGAGAGTGACTGTCTTTTGGCCCCTAAGGAATGGAAAACAGGACAACTAACGTTTGATAGGAAGTACTTAATCACTAGAGGGGGCCCCAGGAGCACAAAGGGCTCATTGACAACACCAGAGCCAGGCAGGAAGGCATCACCAAAGCCAGCTTTTGTAGCCCCACTGTGCCTCAGTTTGGGCCTGTCAGCCATGTGAATTACAGGCAGCGTCTATTCAGTGGGTTTGGCTGACATGCAGCTCTGCACCCCAGTCTCAGCAAACGAACACAGAAAACTCAGCCAATCTTGATCAGCTCAGATCCTCTCTCCTGGTTTCAGCCTCTGTGCTTCTCTACTGGCTCCTCAATAGTTTCTCTAAATCCTAGGGTTAGATATCCTGGAAAGAGGCCAGGAAAAACAAAAGCAAGAAAGAAAATGTGGCTCCCTGAGTAGGCCCAGATTTGTTGAGTTCTACCATTTCCTTCTATCCCTTCTGTCTTTGTGAGTCTAAATGTTAGAAACACTACTTGGGCCAGACTTCAGCGTAGGCAGCGTGGGCGATTGTCTAATACCCAACTTATGTGTCCTGCTTACATCGATTGGGCTTTGCCTACGGCAGGCACTGGATGATGGGCTTTCACAAACCTTACTTTGTTTCATCCGCACAGCAGGCTGGAGGCTGGCAGGAAGGAAACTGACTTCCCTAGGTTTTCACTGAGAGTATAAGTAGAGGTCCCGGATCTGCCTGACCAAAGGTCTTGATCCATCTTTTAAGGTTGCAGATGAGGTCATTTCCTGGAAGTAGGACATGAATCTTGGTGAGAAATTGAGGGTTTGTAGAATGTGAAAAAAAATTGGAAAAATCGTTATGGGGGTTGTAATACACTGAAATGAGACATTCAACAATGAAGGCTTGGTTAAAGATAGAGGGCAGTTTCTGCTCAATAGGAATGGAGAAATTAGCTGGAATGAGACTAAAGATTGAGGATTTGTACAGAAACAGGATGTATGGGCTGAACTGCATCCCCCAAAACTTACGTGTTGAAGCCCTAACCCTCAATGTGACTGTATTCGAAGATATGACCTATAAGGAGGTAATTAAGGTAAAACGAGGCCGTAAGGTTGCAGCCCTAATCCAGTAGGGCTGATGCCAAGAAGAAGAAACGCTGGAGTTACTGCTGCATCACGTGAGGACGCAGGGAGAAGGCGGCAATCTGCAAGCCGGGAAGGGAGCGCTTGCTGGAAATGCAATCAGCTGGCACTTTGATTTGAACTTTCCGATTTCCAGAACTGTAGGAAATTAATTTATGCTGTTTAAGCCACTTAGTCTGTGGTATTTTGTTATAGAAATCCAAGCAAACAAAGATGCATAAGGTCAAGGTGGGTTTTGTAAGCAAAGGAATCAGGTCATTTTCCAGGATTTGGATGTTCTTTAAATATGGGAGAATGAACAAGGCCCAAGTTAAGAAAGCAGTAGTTCGAGAGGTCTAAAGCATTTTGAGTGGATCATGGATTCCAGGTGTGGCGCTACCAGTGAGTAACTTCAGTGGCACAGTAAGTGGACTTGACAGCGAATTGAGAATGGAGAATGTTATCTGAATTGGCAACATAGATATATTGAAGTCACAGAATAATGAGAGAAGAGGAAAAGTAAGTCAGGAACTAAAGATGTCACCTCATATTTCGATCATACATTTCATTAGCTCTAATAAATGTATCATACATTATTTTCTTTACGAAAAGGTCTTGTGGAGGAAGCATATAGTAACTTATTTAATTTTGGGATTCTACACTGCTCATTATTTAGACAACCACCACTCATCGTATGAGATTGCCGCTATTTTCCATGTTTCTGAGGGGAACAAAAAGTGGCGTTATTTTGATGACCACTTAGTGGGTGTACCTAGAGTCTTAGTTCACTATTAATACTATAAACTAAAGGTATAATGCTTACTCATCTACTATAAGTGAAAGCTGCTCACTAATATCTTATATTTTGAGGTTTAGGGTTAATGAATAGGGTATTTTCTTTTTCTTTTTTTCCTCTTATCAGGAACCCACTGGCCCTTGTCTCCCTTGTTATAATTCAACTACAGATTGGTAGACGCTCACTTAAACAGCATGCAGATTTATATTCATAGTATATTCATAATTATTTTTAAAATCTATATATAAATACTACATGTTACATAAAAATATTAATAGGGTGGATGGGGATGTTGAATTATTACGCTTTATTTTTCTTTTCTTTTTTTTTTTTTTTTGAACCTGAATGCAGAGAATAAATACTTTATTAACTGATTACAGTTCAAAGTCACAAACAAAAAAGGGGTATATTAAGGCAAAGCCAAATATATATATATGTATAGACAAATCCAAAGATTGTTACCTCTTTACATTTTAATAACCTCTGCATTTTTCTTTTACACATTTAGGCAGTGTGCTTTTTTTTCTTCTCAGTTAAAGAAACACCTTGACCAATATTTCTAAATCATATTTTGATGACAACTTACAGATCAGTGATTGAGACAATGACTAGTGTATCAAACGCTATCTGATGGTTCTCTCAGCATTTCCGTGTGTGGTGGTACATTTACGTTGGTGTGCAAAATTTGATGATTTTTTTTCTGTCAGCAAAACTGACAAATTTTTAAAAATGATTTTAATAGTTATAACTAAAATAAGCTTAGACTTACAAGTCAGTCAAATGCCCAAACTGCATGTTTTCTGCCCTTCTCCTAAACTTTTACATGTTTTAAATAGCCTTTAGAATATGATTGATCACATGTTGTATTTCAGATCTTAAAGTTTTGAGATTTTCAAAATCAAAAATTACTTCCTTATGCAAAATGGCAATGCAAATAGCAATCCTACATAATGTAGAATAATTTTTCTTCTGTATAGCTCCTTCTAAAAAACGGGCAACCACACACACACACACAAGACATACATTTAGTCCATCTGAAGAAGCACTCCAGCTTTCTAATTCCATTTTTGAAGGAAAAGGCAGAGGCATGTTTACATTATCCCAGAAAACTGAATAAATGGCTTTATTTGGTATCTTCAAGAAGCTTCTCCTTCCGTAGGAGATGTAGGTGTTGTGGGAGAAACTGTAACTGGTTTTCGTGTGATTCTGTCTAGTTCTGCATGAACATCTAAGACAGGCTTCTGGCCTGACTTTTTGGCGGATGGTGGTAAACCACTGCTTCCACCTCCAGCCCCACCTGCAGGGCTACCACCACGCACACCAGGGGCTCCTGGAGAGCCCGTCTTTTTACTCAATAAACTGTTGAAGAGATTTGCCAGGACACCTTCACTTGTAGCTCCAGCTTTCATGTTTGGATCAATTGTTTTTGACCCAGCAGGGATGGGTGACACGCTGGCAACATTGGATGACACAGATCTATTTGGCGTTCGAGGGGAGCCTCCTGGGACTCTTGGTGAGGCATCCACAGGCCTTCCAGCTGCAGTTGGTGGTTGCTTTGCTAAAAGGGACTGTAGCTTCATAAGAAACACTTGATCATCTTCTGCCATAATTTCTTTCTCATGTACAAACTTTCGAACAGGTGGTTTAGTTATGATGTCTTCAAAATTATCTTCCGCTTTTAATGTTTGAAAATTTTCATGTAATATTCCTATTTTCTTATCATTATCCCACCCTGCTGGAATAAATACTGCATCCTTTTCCACAACAACAGCAGGAATCTTATAGGGAAATCCATATAGTTTCTGAACGATGTATTTATATACTAAGTCTATATTTTTGTTTTCTTTTACTTCTTTGAAGTGTAAATAAGTGCTGCACCATGTGTTTCCTTGATTATGACGTCTCTTGTGCCTTGGTGGAAAACCATTTGGTAGAAGACATAAATTATCTGACATACAAATTCATCATCTTCTTGTTGAGCATTTAGCAATTCAATGAGTGCAGGGATTATCCCAGATTTGGCTAGCAATGCAGCACAAGAGTCATCCATGGATACAGTTCCAATCATTATAACCACTTCTAAAACAAGGTCATCTTCTGCAGCACCTGGTTTTAGTTTATCCTTGAGGTATGGAACTAACTTATATTCTTTAAGAACCAATTCCCAGTCTAAGTCTGGAATGGTCAAGTTTGCAAGAGTTCCCAAACATTCAATCACAAACTCCTCTTCTTCATCATTAGAGATCTGGGCTGCAAGGTCCCCAACATAATCAATAAACAAATTTTTAGTTGGTCCATCATGCTGAGAAATGTTTCTTATCATTTTCATCAGCAATGGATCCTTAAATTTCAGTGCCCTCTTCATGAGCATCTTCAGCCCATTTCCTTCACAGATAAGCTGTACATTCCTTTTGTTAGCAGCAAGATTAATGCAGAAAGAAATGAGTTCCAAGTCAATTCGTTCATCTGAACATTCAAATAGCATCTTCATTAACTGTGGTATACAGTCAGTATACGCAAACATTGATTTAAAGCGGTCATCCATGCTTATGTGGTAAAGAACACACATTGCTATTTGTTTGTAGTTGTCATTGCCTAAGAGTGCAGTGAGCTTGGGAAGCAGTCCAACTTGTACCATCTTATTCCTCAGTCCTGTGTCAAAGGATAGATTTAGTAAAAGTCGGAGGGTGATATTCAGCAGATCTTCATGCTCACAAGGTATCATTTTCACCAGTTTTTCAACAATATCCATTTCCACCATATCATTTTTATTCTCCATGAAAATGCTGAGTTTCTTCAAGAATGACACAACTAGAATGAGCAGCTCAAAATTGTCCCGATCAAGAGCCTTCACCAACATATGAACTATGTTCTTGTTCCTCATTTTCAGTTCAGTACGAGTATCCTCAGCAAGATTCAGAAGCAAATAAAGAGCAACTCGTAATAGCTGTTCCTGTTTTACCACAAGCCCCTGGTACTTTTTAAAAGTTTTTTCATAATCCTTTCTCAAGGTTTGGTTTTCAGGGTCTTCATCAACAGCTTTCTTCTTCTTTGAAAGTTCTTCTTGCCAAAGCTCGTGTCTTTTTAACTCATGATCAATAATATTCATACACAGGGCTCCAATTTTATAGTGAGTAATAAGTCCATGAAACTGAGAAAAGCTGGAAAAGCAAAAAAAGATGTAAATTATGTTCGTAGCTAACTCAACACTTTGTTTCCAGTCTTCTCTCAGGACCCTTGCTAATGCACCAAGGGCAGCTTCATTCAATAGTAGTTCTTCCAAGTTATCAGGATTTCGAGCAAGCTGCAGGATCAAAGCAGAACCCCGAACCTTATCAGGAATATCTTCATATAGTAACTCAATATATTCATCCATATCATTAATGTTGGCAACTTCATCAATCTCCATTCCTTCAAAAGGAGGTGGATCTTTAGGCTTGCTTGATTTTTCTTTTTTCTCTTTTCCTGACAATGAGTCACGGCAGTTCTGTAGATAGTACAATAGTTGTTCTACCTCATTTAGTCTTGAGGGATGAATGAGTTTACATTCTTCAACCACCTTCCTTGCCAGGGAAATTATATCTGTGTTGGCATTGAGACTCTTAAGTCGAATGAGTTTAATATAATCTCTCCTTCACTAAGATAAAGTATGCTTGGAAGAATGCCATAAATCAATCACATTTTTTGACATTCTTTTCAGTTCTCCCAACATGGGATCTCCCATTTCTCCAAGAATGGTAGCTTCCACTTCATATTGAACAATGAGTGCTTTTTCTGATGGATGTACATCGATATTCCCTCCTTTAACTTTCCTTTTAAGGTGTCTGGCGTCCTCCCCTTGCATGGCGGCCATTACGCTTTATTTTTCTTTAATACTTTTCGGTTTTTGTTTTACATTTTTTATAATGGAAATATGTTATTTTTATTAAAAAGCAAACCAAAAACATTATATATAGTATGTACTGACTATGCAAATAAATAATTTTTTATCCATCCAGATTCTTTATGTCTTGCAAATGATACTATCATGAATGAAGATGTTGCTCAAAGAAGAGGAATTAGAACCCGTTTTAGGCATCTGCTGGATTAATTGTTTCTTCTGGGCGAGATTGCCCACATGCAGAGTAGCCAATAAATCTCTTGTCACGTGGTGTACAGTGCCTCATTCAGAAACAGAAACAACGTGCCTTTGCAAGCAGATGAAGTACCAGTGATATGGACATCTCACACAAAGATAATGCATCACCTCCCCCAATTAGGTCCTAGCTCAAATCTTCCAGCTTAGGTAACTAGTACTACATCTAAAACAATGTAACCTGGTATTGTAGGTTCAACCGTGCCTCACGAAAAAAGATATGTTGAAGTCCTGCAGATGTGATTTTATTATCTCTACAGATGTAATCAAGTTCATATGGGGTCATTAATATGAGTCATAATTCAATATGGTTGATATCTTTATTAGAAGAAAAGAAGAGACGAAAAGACAGAGATGCATGAGGAGAGAAGGCCCCGGGTGAAGGAGACAGAGATCGAAGTTCTGTAGCTGCAAGCCAAGGAATGCCAAGGACCACTGGCAGACTGTCATGAGCTAGGAAGAGGCCAGAAAGGCGTCCCTCCTGCAGGTTTCAGAGGGAGTGCTGCCCTGCCAACCCCATAATTCTGGATTTCTCCCTTCCAGAACTGTGAGACAATGAATTTCTTTTGTGTTAAGCTATGCTGTTTGTGATGCTTTGTTATGGCAGCCCTAGGAAATGAATGCTCTATAAAATTATAATTGGTTGTTTAGAACCACAGACATGTATTTAATAAAAATTATCTTATATCTCTATTCAAAACTTTGATGTGTGCAAAGGTATTCATATGAGCTGGGAGCCTGCTATAGATATTACTAGAGTTGCTACAGGTTTCTACGTAAAGTTAAATATTCAAAGTGAAATGGGGTGAATACAAACTCTGGATACAAAGCGCTGTCAAACAGGGCAAGCACTGGATGGAAGAACACTTCCTAAATTAAAATCAAATTTCCTAAATTAAAATTATGTGGCCATGCTCTATGGATGGTCAAGGTCGAATTCATAGAAAAAGGAAACTAAAATAGTCTCAGGAAGCACCTCACGAGGAAGGTAAGGAAGAAATTGATCACAGACAGCTGTTGTGGTGGCAAAGGATTTCCCATTTCCACTGGACCAAGATGGCAACCACGTTCCATCTTCAGCATGATTCCGTAACAAAGGCTAGTTGCGGCGAGGAACAATGCGTGGAGCAGGATTGGATGGCTGATTTTAGAGATAGAAGGAAAGAGTGCTGGGATTGATTATCGATGTTTGCCATGGATATAGTTGGGGGAAATGGTGATGACAGAGCTACCATATATTTAAACTCTGTTGTGAGTTATCATAGTGGCTCAATGATCACAGGCCACTGTTACACAAAATTTAATGACACTTCTGAGGTCCTGACCATTCAAGCCTGGGGCCTTTTGACAATAATAATGTAGTAAGTAAGAAAAATAAATAGTTAAACACCATCTTTTGAGTGTGCTAAAGGAAATGAAAAATTTAAAGATAATTCCTAAGGGCTGCCTTGGCATTTAAGTTTATTTAGATTCTTCTCATTTTTTTTTTAAATGAAGGGTAATAGACTGGTGCTAATAATTGTTGGCATTTTCTGTTGTAATAACTATGTTTTTTTTTTTTTTTCATGAACAACCATGTGAAATGAAAACACTTGCTCAATCGTTTTGGATGTAAATAACCATCATTATGGGACCTCAGACTATTTGGAGTGCAAGGCTGTGGCTTGCTCACCATTGATACCTGATGGCAGTGGGTCTACATTCTGATTATGACACTGTGAAGGAAGAAGAAATACAACAATCTCTTGACTGGGGCCTTGTAAATCTAAGCTCAAATATGGAAGACTGTAGTGAGAACGAATTCCAAAATGCCAACTCAGGTGGCATTAAAGAAGAGGCTTACAGTCGTAGGTCTGCTTGCAGGTACACAGTCCCTCATTTCTTGTATCCTGCACAGAGACATGTTTGCACTGGCACCTGGTGGAGGCTCTGTGGTTGTGCTCCAGCCCTGGGACCCTTCCTGAGCCCCCTCCACTCCATTGTCCTCTTTCTTAATGGGTCAAGCTTGAGAGCAGCATTTTTTCAGGGGAATCAAAAAGACTGGATGCCACAAAGATTTAGCTTACGTGCAGGTATTTATAGTAATGGGTGGAAAAAGCTGGTTACTCACTCTATGGTGGTCTTGAGAGATGTGCAGAGTTTCAGTCCTTCCTACTTCAGGGAGGACATCCCTAGTCCAAAATAGTTATTTGTCAGGTAACCCAGAAAGCTCCTGGGGACATTTTTGGAATGTTTTAGGAGATTATATTTCTGTCGAAAGATATAAGCTCTTTTCTACCAGGTTTGTTTTGTAGAAAGATTATAACTTCTGCTCCACTGACTTGTTTTGGCCAATGACATGTGAGTGGAGGAGACATGTGACGTTTTTGAGCAGAGGCTCTAAGAGCTATAATTGCTTTTGCCACCTACCTTTTTTTCTGCCTTGAGACTGCTGTGGCCCCGATGGGGGCTTTTTCTTCTGACTTTGTTCCCAGATAGAAAAAGCATGGAGTAGAGCTGTAGCCAGTGTTAACGTGAGTAAGTAATCAATATTTGCTGCAGTAAGGGGTTGAAATTTTGAATTTGTTTGCAGCACAACCTGGCAAAAGCTGACTATGACATCATTCCAAAATTCACACACTAGCAAAGGCAGTTATGGACTGTCCCCGTTGGTAGAAGGCAATTTTAGGAATCTAGATACAACCGAAGAGCTAACAGTCTACAAATGGAAATTAGGTCCCATGTTGGCGATTCCGAGGACTGAATCTCAAGCTAGAAAAGAAAGTAATGGGGGGAAAAGGACATGTAGGAAATAATGGCTAATATTATTAAATAAAGATCAATACTAGACCAATATGTGGGGTGTATGTGTGAGGGAGAGAGAGCATGAGAAAAAAAGAGCTGGGGGGAGTGGGCAACAGAACAAGAGCTTAGAGAGTTTAAGATTGATTGGCCCAGCAATGGCCTTTCTCTTTCTCCCAAAGAGACTGGAGTTTCAGAGTCTAGTCCTCAAATTGTGTGGTGAATATGGCAGTAGTTCCACCTAAGGAATGAAGAAATCCAGCTATTAGAAGATTGACTCTATACGCCAGGCGCAGTGGCTCATACCTGTAATCCCAGCACGTTGAAAGAACAAGACAGGTGGATCATGAGGTCAGGAGTTCGAGACCAGCCTGGCCAACATAGTGAAACCCCTGGCCAACATAGTGAAACCCCATCTCTACTAAAAATACGAAAAACTAGCCTAGCATGGTGGCGGGCACCTGTAATCCCAGCTATTCGGGAGTCTGAGACAGGAGAATCGCTTGAACCCGAGATTCAGTGAGCTGAGATCACACCGCTGCACTCTAGACCGGCCAACAGTGCAAGCCTCTCTCGGGAAAAAAAAAAAAGAAAAAAGAAAAAGACTGACTATAAATTGGAAGGGGACAAAGAGGAAATGCCTATGCCTTCTTGTAGGAAATACGAGAAGGGAACTGATCCACAGGGGAAGTAGGGGTCAAGACAAGCAGTGAGGAACAAGGACCAAGCAAGAACCCAATCCCTGAGAAACTGAGATACTGAGGTCAGAGCAGAGGTGGGAACCAACTGGATCAATACTGAAGCAGTGAGGTGCCAACTTTATGTTTCCCTCCAGGAAACTGCTTGGAAGCTGGAGTGGTTCAGAAGCTGCAGGAAGAATCTAAGTGGTTTTATCTGTGTAGGTTACAGGATGGAATTACCACGTTCTGATGTTATATGATAGGATAAAGGAACAGGCCGATTATCTGCTTCTTTTAACAGATGTAATGAATCAAACTCGGTTAAAAAAAACTCTCTTTTTCTCTAACTTCATACAGCCTTCCCAAAGCTATGGGAATTCTCAGTGCACAGTACAAGGTGGAAAGAATTGTTTTTTCTTTAGTCTACAGATTTCTAGAGCTAAGTAATGTGGCCCAATGTGTTCCCATCAAATGCATGATCGTGGCTTTTGTAACATATAATTTTTCTTCCTTTGTATTTCAGCATCAATGTGACTTTACTACTGAACTAGCTTGCATTGAAGTTGCCTTCGATTCTTAAACAGAGGATCAATCATTTTCAAAGAATGACGTGGCAGAGATTGCTATTTGTCCCAATATCCATTTCCCCCTCATCTTATTGTTTGGTGGCCAGACAATATGGAAGCTGCAGGAAGAATTTAAGTGGATCTATCACTGTAGGTTAAAGGATGGAATTCTCAATTTATGCTAGGCACTTGGCCACCAAAACCAAAGGATACATTTCTTAGACTTTCTTAGGTTGTGGTGAGGGGATATTACTAAGCACTGGCCAATGGAAGGCATGTGAGTGGGAGGTGTGCAAATATGTATGAAGAAAATGGCATATTCCCTTTCCTCTCTCCATTATTTTCCAGCTAGACTGTGGACAAGGTGCTGAGCTATCTTGAAGCCTGCAGTTGAGGACAATACTCTAGGGATGGTAAATAAGCAAGAACAAATAGCTGAATCCATAGCCTAGTTGATAAAAATGGCAAATCAGGCTTTCAGAAGCTTTCCAGGAGAAAGTTGGAACAGGATGCCTGATGAATTAAAAAGTCAGAACTGATGTTGGAAAATATGTATACCAAGAGAAATGGATACACAGCCAGGAATTTAGTCTTCTGCATTACAGGAGTGGACAGAAGGAAGGAGGTTAAAGGCCAGAGAAAGAGCGTGTTTTCTTCAATTGACTTCCTTTCTGCTGCAACC